TGTTAGTGATCAGAACGAAGCTCCTTAAAAAGCCCGCATCCTATAATGACTGAAATAACTTCAGAATAGGCTACAGGATAATCATTATCACAACCCGAGTCAACGCTGATTAGCGAAAGGGTATCAATCTTATGCATATGTCGGCATGTTGCACGAATTCTGGCGCGTACTGTATGTTTCATTTCGCATGAAATACTCGAAATCACTGTCTCGTACATTACATAATACCATTAACCAGGGGAAAGAAACAGGAACGAAAGGAACGACAGGGGAGGGAGGAACGACGGGAGGTGGAGGAAGGACGGGAGGGGGAGGAACGGGGACAGGGGACGGTGATAACAAGACTCAGCTTAAGACTGTTCTGCCCATTATTACAGTGGTCATCATCGCAACCGAATTACTTCTCTTACTACTCATGCTCTGCTGCAAGCCTGCCAAGAAAAAGGACAACGATGACAATGATGGTGACGACGACGACGAGAGCACAGATAACAGCAAGGGCAAAGAGCGTAGCAAAAAGACCGGCAAGTCGGATGAAAACGGTACCGGCATCGGGGTTGGCAAATCACGAGGAATCCGCTTTCCTGGAGCCGTGATCGTCGGCGCGAGCAAGCCGATCCAGATTAACCTTAACATTCCAGGTCTAAGTTATGCAGGAGGTGAAAAGGAGGACCCATTCAGAATGCTGGAGGACGCAACACCCTCAAACTTTTACGAGTCTTCCGACTAGAGCTTGGCCGTATGCGGACAACTCCGTTGAATTCGTTCTTCATAAGAGTATGCATACCATTTGTTTTTTAAGCTTTTCGCTATGATTCCTTGTCTGTCTTTGAGAACCGTATATTCACAGGTTTTTTTAATTTGTCACTCCCAACGGGCTACATCACATGATGTCATGTCTACAGAAGACTCTATGCTCGTTAGAACCTAACCACATTATGAAAATGTTAAAGTAGTCAACATCGCACATTTTGTACAGCTTTCATATTTGTGAAAAGGCCCAAAATGTTGATCTTAATGCTGCGCATTTTGACTAGCAGAGAGCTAAAATAAAGTGGATACGGTTGGCAGCGACTTAGGATTGACGAGCTAAAACTGTAATTACCATGTCGGAAACGCAACACGCTGATTCAAACGCAAACCTTGCAGTACACTCAAAAGTAAACAAAGCATTTCCAGCCTCGTTTGCTAAACATCAGCAAGTCCCTGTACAGACTTAATGGACTAATGAACTTGCGGGTAAACTACATAAAACAAACTGGTTTTCAAATATGAGTACACATTAAACCATACCATATGAGAGGTTGCAGTGGATGAAAACCATGACATTAGTGACAAAACAAAGTAGCTTTATCATCGCAATCATCGAATCCCACAACTGATCTGCAATTAAGGTGCGTTATTGCTAAACGCGCGAGTGCGTTTACGCTGACACAGAATTTCGTAGTTTCTACCTCTTTTTCTGTTTCACTCAGTACACACTCTCTCCCACTACACTGTATTTAAGTAACACTACATTCAACTTGCAGATGAAAGTGGAATCAGGATATATGCTTATATATTGCTAAACGTGGTCCTAAGACTGAAAGCGATGTAGAGCGAACAATTGCAGGCATGCTGCGCCAACGGAGACAGGCGAAAACTGTAGAGCAGTGTGGTTCCATTTCACTGTCTTCGGCTAATGCACTGTAACTGACAAGGAC